GTGGATTTGTTCATTAGTCTTCAGTATTTAATTTAATATGTAGCTCTCAGTTTACTAAACTACTTCACAACTTTAATTATGGGCGAACTATTTCTATTAGCAAAATATTTAATTATGGAACATACATAGACTCTTGGTTTCTTTTAATTTAAATTAATATTTATTCATTTAAATGAATTTATTTAAATGAATAAATGAAAATAAAGATGCTGTGACATCTACACATGTGTAATTGACAGAGCATGAACACCTGTAGATTATATATATGCCTACATAACATGCACATCTACATAGCATATATAACTACATATCATGTACCTTGTATACTTCTACACAATGTGTACACCTACATATCCTGTACATCTACACAATGGGTACACCTACATATCATGTACATCTACACAATGTTACACCTACATATCATGTACATCTACACAATGTGTACACCTACATATCCTGTACATCTACACAATGTGTACACCTACATATCATGTACATCTACACAATGTTACACCTACATATCCTGTACATCTACACAATGTGTACACCTACATATCATGTACATCTACACAATGTGTACACCTACATATCCTGTACATCTACACAATGGGTACACCTACATATCCTGTACATCTACATATCCTGTACATCTACACAATGTGTACACCTACATATCCTGTACATCTACATATCCTGTACATCTACACAATGTGTACACCTACATATCCTGTACATCTACACAATGTGTACACCTACATATCCTGTACATCTACACAATGTTACACCTACATATCCTGTACATCTACACAATGTGTACACCTACATATCCTGTACATCTACACAATGTGTACACCTACATATCATGTACATCTACACAATGTTACACCTACATATCCTGTACATCTACACAATGTTACACCTACATATCCTGTACATCTACACAATGTGTACACCTACATATCCTGTACATCTACACAATGTGTACATTTCAGTATTTCGAACCATCGTTTGATGCCATAAACGTATATGGTTTAAGAGATAAAGAGTCTCTATCTATCTCTATCTCTATCTATCTCGATAAAGAGTCTCTATCTCTTTAAGAGATAAGAGTCTCGTTAACAGCATTGTTTGCCATCTTCCCTCACCCCTTCCTCATTCTCTCCCTCACTATCCTCTCACTCCCCCCCCCTCTATCTCACTCACTATCCCTCACTCCCCCCCCCTCTATCTCACTCACCATCTTACTATCCCTCTCCTAACCTCTATCCTAACCCCCTCTCACTGTTCCCTCATTTTCTATCTCCCTCTCATCTTCCCGTTCCATCCTTTCATCGCTTTTACTCTATTCTCATTTTCCTGTTTCCCATTCTTCACTCACATTCTCTTTCTTTCCTATCCTCCATCCTTCTCTCCTCTCCGCCTACCCTCCATCCCTCCCTCGGCCATCCTTAGGAATTTGCTAAGTATTAATCGACCAATTTTGGTCGATTAATCTAGTATTTGATTAGTAATTTAGTATTTTTTAGTATTTTACTATTATTTATTTTAGTAATTTAGTAATATTTATTTTAGTAATTTATTAATCAATTTTAAGTATTTTGGAGTCGACCAATCCGTTAAAATATCTGTTTATATTTAACAATTAAAGCGCCGAAATACTGACGTTTCCTCCGCAATCGCTCCTGATAGGTTAGGTGGGATGATTGGGTTGGTACGTTTGTGGCTAGTTAAAACAGTTTCATTTCTTTACGGAATGGCAAATCGAGAAATAAAGGTCGAGGGGCCAGATTCACGAAGCAGTTACGCAAGCACTTACGAACCTGTACATCTTTTCTCAATCTTTGACGGCTTTAGTTAGATTTATTATTAAGTTAACAAGCATGAAAACGTCCCAATCAACTGTTGTTATTGTTATAAACAGCCTCCTGGTGCTTCGGAGCTCATTAACTGTCTAATAATTGTAAACAAAGCCGCCAAAGATTGAGAAAAGATGTACACGTTCGTAAGTGCTTGCGTAACTGCTTCGTGAATCTGGCACCTAGACCTTTATTTCTCGATTTGCCACTCCGTTAAAAATTAAACTGTTTTAACTAGCCACAAACGTACCAAACTTGTGTTTGACACACAAGAATACGATGATAAAGGTGTGTAAACTGGGAGTATTGGGAGCTGTACTGTTTGGTAATGTGGTAAGTGGCTACGGTGGGGAGGGGGGTGAACTGTGGCCCGCCCACCACCATGGAAATCTCTCTTGGAACGACGTCGTTAGACTGGTTGTTATCGGACGAGTAGGGCTCACTGTGGTGGTGGTGGTGGTGGGGAGGGAGGGAGGTTAGTGGTGGTGGGGAGGGAGGGTAGTGGTAGTGGTGGTGGTGATGGGGGTGGTGGTGGTGGGGAGGAAGGGAGGTTAGTGGTGGTGGTGGGTGGTGGTGGGGAGGGTAGTGGTAGTGGTGGTGGTGATGTAGTGGTGGGGAGGGAGGGTAGTGGTGGTGGGTGGTGGTGGTGTAGTGGTGGGGAGGGAGGGAGGTTAGTGGTGGTGGTGGGTGGTGGTGGGGAGGGAGGGAAGGTAGTGGTGGTGGTGGGTGGTGGTCGGTGGTGGTGGTGTAGTGGTGGTGGTGGTGGGGAGGGAGGGAAGGTAGTGGTGGTGGTGGGTGGTGGTCGGTGGTGGTGGTGTAGTGGTGGTGGTGGTGGGAGGGAGGGTAGTAGTGGTGGTGGTGGGTGGTGGTGGTTGGGGGGGTGGAGAGGGGGTGGTAGTCATGGTGTAATAACTGATGATGGTTGTGGTTGGTGAGGTGGTTAATGGTAGTTGAGGTGGTGTATTTACGGTGCCGTAATGACCGAGGATGGTACTAGAGCAGTTCCTAGCACGAACGTCGAATATGAAGTGGTTTTACTTGATCAAAATTTGCTTGAACCCAAGCAACCCACCTAACCCATCCAGGTCACTAGTCATCACACCAAAAGAACATCAGTATTACAAATGCTTTTAATTTCAGTAAAGCGCGGGAATCTAGACGCTATGGGTCGATGGCGTCAACATTGTCTGTGCTAGATAACCCTGCAGAGGTTGATAGGCTGTAGGCCTATCAACCTCTGCTGGTTGATAGGCCTATCAGACTGAAACACACGATTAGATATAACGAGGCTCCCAGACGCGGTACATCGCCTCTACAGAGACTGTGGGTTGAGTTCTAGCTGCTAGGACCAGACTCCAGCCTCGTCTCTACATGTCTTAACTCATTAGCTTGTGCATTACGGGCTATTCATGCCCGTGCCACCTCTTGGGTGGCTTAATCTTCATGAGTCGTCAGCTTGTGCAGCAAGAGTCAGTCTGACGCGTGTGTGGCTGACATCCATGATCATCCGCTTGCTCGGTGGCCCAACTACATGGCTGCCAGTTCGCTCCACCCGCTGGATCATGCAGGTCGGCGTTCAATCCCCGACCGTCCAAGTGGTTGGGCACCATTCCTTTCCCCTCCTTCCACCCGCTAGACAGTGGCCAGCGTCCTCAACCTTGTAGCGGGATGCCCTCGGACGCAGGTTCGAATCCTCGTCACGGCCCTTGTGGATTTGTTCATTTGATGCTTCACGCAATTGTGATTTCTGTGTGTAAGCTTGTAGCGTCGTTTATCGTTAGCCGCCTACCTTACACCATCTCCTGAGGCCTACCGCCTAGATGTTCACTAAATGTTGTGGAGAACTCTTCTTGTATCCTGTTGTATGTTATACAGTATACATCTGAGTGGCCACATGTTCCCCCTTCACCACCTTACCTTACCTTGAGGTAAGGTTGAGGTAAGGACCACAACCACATCAATAAACTCTACAGTTGACGCAGCATCATATTGGCTCATTAATGTAGTGCTGCTACATATGAAGTGGAGAGATTTCCACACACCAACTAACCTCCAGTTGAACAAATCCACAAGGGCCGTGACGAGGATGTGTTTGTGGATTTGTTCATTTGATGCATCACGTTAGTGTGATCCCTGTGTGTGGTGTGTGTGTGAACCTCCAGGTAGCTGAACATCAGGTGTTGAACAACTACCTGCAGCAGTAATAGCACATTCAATTCGTAATCACCTTGTATAACGTAACGCATCAAATAAGCTAAAGTAAGGAGTTGCTACATGTAACATTTATATACCGTTTATCATAGCCAGAGCGAGGCTCTAGATGAAAGGTTATCTGGGAAAACTGTACGAAAGGTTAACCTTTCTGCATGAAAGGTTACCTGAGGACTCTGCAACAGATTGCTTTGAACACCAAATGCTAAACTAAATTAAACCATTATTAATTAATATATATATATATATATATAGCAGTGAGTTAGCATAAATGAGAAGAAGTGTGAGTTATGACCAGCAACACGCGGTGTGTTGCAGGTCATGTTACCTCTAGTTAGTTTGTCTTTGTTGGGGAGACAAGACGCTTCTAAGACTTATTGTGGATACTCTAGGGAGAATGGCACCTAGATTCCCAGCCCATCGACTGACCTTCTTCAAGATACAATCCACAACAGTTGACTAATTTTAATTAGCTTAATAAAGTAGATGCTGGTAAAGCCAGTTGTGAAAGAGAGCTTGAACTATAGAACTAAATGTTCTTCTTCTATTCTTGGTCTCTCCTCTCCTGGATTCTTCTTTCATTCTGTTGTATTTACTTCTGTTGTATTTACTTCTGTTGTATTTACTTCTGTTGTATTTACTTCTGTTGTATTTACTTCTGTTGTATTTACTTCTGTTGTATTTACTTCTGTTGTATTTACTTCTCTCGTCTCGTTCTGTCCTCCCATTTGTGTCTGTCCTTACCTCTTATTTCCTTCTCGTGTGTTCCTTCCTCCTCTCCTTCTCGTGTGTTCCTTCCTCCTCTCCTTCTCGTGTGTTCCTTCCTCCTCTCCTTCTCGTGTGTTCCTTCCTCCTCTCCTTCTCGTCTGTTCCTTCCTCCTCTCCTTCTCGTGTGTTCCTTCCTCCTCTCCTTCTCGTCTGTTCCTTCCTTACCCTTCCATCTTTTCCTTCTGCTTCTTCGTGTTTTCCTCTTCCCTCTTTGCAGGCTCGAATTGAATTTCAAATTGCAAATCAACTTGCTGATTTGTCTCTATAAAAATATGAGAAATCAACGAACATTTCCTTATTTAAAACTAGTTTTCTAATTAACTTCATATTAAGCGAGATCCTGTTTAAATAAAATATTTTGATGAGTGGATTCCTCAATATTATGAGGCCTATGGTTAAGCAGTTTAGCACCTGCATGATCAGAGATAATGAGGAATGATATATATATATATATATATATATATATATATATATATATATATATATATATATATATATATATATATATATATAGCTGGCTTGAACTGCTGGTTCCTCTGGAGACTCGCCAGCGTGTGTCTGGGAGCTCCACCGTCGCCAGTTCAATCCCTTTGCAGTACTTCAGTATATACTCATTGATGCATGAGGTTATTGGGACTTTACTGTGTGTTGTTTCATGTATAATTGATGTTATCGTTGATGGCTTCTTGTAATAATCACGATGTAGTCTATTTCAGAATCAGCATTATAGATCATTCAGCCCCATCGTGATCAGATTACTGTTTAATTATTTCGTAAATTGGATTATAGGAACTTGGATATTCCATCAAGGAGATTATAGCTCAATGGTGCCGATAATGCTTTTAAATGAGTTAGTGTTGTTATCCATACTTTGGATATCATATTTCCTTTCAGCCGGTTTCTATAATGTCAAATTATAGTTTGATAATTACTCTCACGTCCGAGTAATTGAAGACTCATACGTAAGGAGAACTTTCTATAGACACTTGTCGACTGTGTATCTGTACAGTCCCACAGTGATTGATGATTACAGTGATTGATGATTACAGTGATTGATGATTACAGTGATTGATGATTACAGTCATTGATGATTACAGTCATTGATGATTACAGTCATTGATGATTACAGTCATTGATGATTACAGTCATTGATGATTACAGTCATTGATGATTACAGTCATTGATGATTACAGTCATTGATGGTTGATTGATTTGGATTGTTATCCTTAACTCTCTGCCTTTTCTTTAGTGATTGAGGGTTTCTTCGTTATTGTCATCTTGAAATTGTCTTTTCCGTTCACGTGTAGTTATTAGTGTAGCGTAGTAGGGGCCTGGTAGCCTGGTGGATAGCGCGCAGGACTCGTAATTCTGTGGCGCGGGTTCGATTCCCGCACGAGGCAGAAACAAATGGGCAAAGTTTCTTTCACCCTGAATGCCTCTGTTACCTAGCAGTAAATAGGTACCTGGGAGTTAGTCAGCTGTCACGGGCTGCTTCCTGGGGGTGGAGGCCTGGTCGAGGACCGGGCCGCGGGGACACTAAAAAGCCCCGAAATCATCTCAAGATAACCTCAAGAAGATAGTACGGGTGGCATGGGTTGTTGTTGTTGTTTAAGATTCGCTACCTGGAACAAAATGTTCCAAGTAGCACGGGCTATGGTGAGCCCCGTAGTGGACTTTGGGTTGTGGTGCTCCAGCAGTCCGGTCCTCCTAAGGTTTCCCAACGTCAAGAAAACGGTCAGTTTAAAGTGTGGTCTCCTAACCTGCCAGAGGACCCACAACAGAAAACGGGGACAGTAAAGTCACTTTCGCCAGCCGCTTCCATTTTCTAGTGCGACACTTTTTCATCTTATGGAACTCATACGGGCGAAAAGCGACGTTCTTGGTAAGAGGACAGCTAGGCTCCCGGGACAGGTCAACTGGGCAGTACAGGAAATTCATAGGTCAGACTGTGAGCACCGGTGGCTAACCAACCAGTCCTCCTAATAGAACGTCGCATTTTGACGTATAGGCTACTTAAGGCCATAAGTTAGTCGCACTAATAAATAGTAGTGGCTCTCGAAATTGACATACTGTCCCGTTTTCTGTTGTGGGTCGTCTGGTAGGTTAGGATAAGGGCACGTTAGTACGACAGTTTCTTGACGTTGGGAAGCCTTAGGTGGACGGGCTGGTCTTAACAGGCTGGTTGATCAGACCAATGGTGATGCCTAATCAGAGCCTGGGCCGCGGGAACATTGATCCTCGAAACCACTTCAAACTAACCTCAAGGTATAGTTGATATCTCAGGTAGCGTACATCAACGGCTTCATGTAATACAAGCCTGAGTTCAATCCCCCAATGTGTCAGTGAAATTAAATGCTGTTACCCAATGAATAAGACCTGTGAGGGGAGGAGGTAGTGTAAGTAACCCGCTCTCTCGAGTTGTCACTTCGTGAAAAATACAACTGTTTTGACCAACCAGAAAACATCTAAATTACGATGATTGAATTTCCACCAACACGAGGAAGGAGAACACGCGGCTGGTGGAGGGAGCGAAGGATGTTGTTGTTAAAGATTCGTTATTTAGAACAAAACGTTCTAAGTAACACGGGCTATGGTGAGCCCGTAGTGGACGAAATAGTCCGTGAGTGTGGGTGAGGGACCCACTGGTCCTTACGACCATGCTGCATAAGGGTCACTTCCCCGCGTGTGTCTCCTCCCGCTCGTCCTCACCCTTGGCACCTCACTGCTACCATCACGTCAGCAAATCTGGTCGCTTTCTCATGGTCCCGGAGACCATGCTTGACGTGATGTTGTTGTTGTTTAAGATTCAGCTACTGGGGGAACAAAATGTTCTAAGTAGCACGGGCTATGGTGAGCCCGTAGGGGACTTAACCTGGCCCAGGAGCGGGGCTGTAACAAGTAGCACGGGCTATGGTGATCCCGTAGGGGACTTAACCTGGCGCAGGAGCGGGGCTGTAACTGTATGTCATTGGGAAGCTGAGCTCTCATCACCTGAGTAATCATCAAAGCGATACAGCTTACAATTGCCGTGGCTAGTTAATTGTAACCTCGCTAGCAGACTAACCAAAATATAGCTTTGAAGTCTTCAGTAAACTATATTGTGACGTCATTTTCTGACGTCACAATCCAGTTTCTACTAGAAGAATACTAGCAGACTATTGGCAGCTGTGACGTCATCATACGAGTATCACCTCCAAGTTTGACATTGAGGCGACTGAGCCAATCACAGGCCAGGGAATAGGGTCGTTCCGCC